TTCCTTCTCTCTCTCTCTCTCTCTCTCTCTCTCTCTCTCTCCTTTTTCTTCCTTTCTCTATTCTCCCTTTTCGCGAGATGCACGTCAACCGCGGGACATAAAATATTTCAGAAATGGTTAAAGGCTGCGGTGGGAAACCTTGCAGGAACGCGCTTGGTGATATGCGAAGCGGGTTGGAGAAAGAAGCTGCTTTGGGTGTTGCATCAAGCTCTTGGGTGCGACGAGCGCGATGAATAATTACCGATCCGTCAATGGCTTCACGCGCATTTGAGATCTATCCGTCTGTTAAATGGCGACGGTGTCGAATTACCGGGTCCGCGCGATGATAATTAATATCGAAACGAAAAGTCATCGCGTGCGTTTTCTGCGAACGCGCGGGAAACGGGGGGGAAAAACGCGTTCGCGTTTATTTATCACAATCGCCGTTCTAATAATTAATTCGTTTAGCGGTCGTAGTTTAATTTGTCGTTCGCGTCACGTGGGACGCATTCCTGTCCCTAACTGAAATATTTAATTTCCATTAAAGGCAAACTAGTCATCCAACGCACTTTCGGAGTCGATACATCACGCATCGCTTCTCTCATTCGCTCATCGTGTGACGGATTAGAAAAATTTTTATCTGCCCTTTGCACCTGTTCAAATTACCTGTTCTCCTCGCGACACGAGATAAAAAAGTCATTTTATTCACTTAAAATCATACGACGATTTTCAGACGACGTGAAAATAACGGCGCATTTGAGGATTAGCGGCGCGTGGAACGGTTAACGATCAACGGTGGTTTACGGAGCATTAATAATTCACGCGGTTTATGAATTTGTTAATGTCGATTAACGGCGTGGTCGTCGTCGTCGTCATTACAAATGCGGAACGTATAATGTAACGTCGTAGCGAGCGGTTTTTTTTTCCCCTCCCGCCCGACGGTGGTGCGTCGCGAGACGTCCCGCATTTGCGTTCCCGTCGGGCGTCACGCGTCCACTTGGTGACGAAGCGCGGCGAATTGGATCGCTTGATACGGCACCCGGCAGCAGTCGATAAAGGGAGATTCCGCGGGATTTATTGTGTTGGTCGAAAACTCGAGCGCCGGTGCACGCCGCGCCTAGGCGCGAACCAGCGCCGCGACCGCCAGGTCGCACCGAGAACAATTAGGCTAACAATGACTCTCAAGCGACGTCCGGGTCACGGCTCCCCGGCGTTGCGCCTCCCATTTTCTACGTGCTCTACGTGCGAGTAGCACATACTTTTTGTGGTCGATCGTGCGATAACACCGAATGAGAGACGTAAAAAAAAAGTGCTAATTGATATCGAATGGATTTTTTTATATTTGTTGTTTTTTTTTCAGCATTTTAATGTTTGCAACCTGGCGATTGTAAAAATCATAATGTTGAAATTTCAATAGCGATTAGTGAAGTAGATGTTGAAATGAATTAACAAAGGACGATAAAATCAGAGTCGCAAGGGATATTAAAAGAAATATATTTTTCAATTAACTAGAAATATAACATTGTGAAAAATGTTTGACATAAAAAATAAACTGCGGTGATAATAATAAAAGAGAATATGAGTAAAAAAAAAAGATTTATAGAGGATTTCGACATTTTTATATTCGCGAGATAATATTTAACTTTTGTCCCTTTTCAATCTCAACTCATTTGATTGATGCTGTTAATGGCATAGATTGCAAAGTATCGAAAGCTGCAAGTCGATAAGTATCGCCCTACCGAATTGCTAATAAGCGGCCGATTTCGTGATCTCTCCGACGATCTGCCATCCGCGTTTAACTTGTTTATTGTTGGCGTAACGACGATGGGATAAAGGAGGAAGGGAGGAGATCGATTGAGACGTCCGCTCCACGGAACACGCCAGCCCTAAGGGCCCCGGCTAATTGCTATAATTAATTGCGTGATTGCTATAGTTAGATCGATACGGATTGCCAGTTAGAAGAGTGTAGCTTCTGCCACCGTAATGATACAGTCACAGAGAGAGACCTATATTGGCCTCACGATTGTTCCGGCTCGATTCAGAAACGTGCCAACTGGAAAATTTGCTCGCATCTTTTCTTGTAGCAATTTCTAATCCTTGTAACAATTTTTTAATAATTATATAATTTTATATTTATTATTTTACATTTTATATTACATAATTTTACAAAATTTTAATATTTTTAGAATTTTATACTATGTATAAAAAACTATCTAATATTCTATTATATAATTTTTAAATTTATTTTACGATTTTTAATATTTTTTTATTAAGGCTTATCATTAATTAATCTTTTAACATAATATTTTTGATTTTCTCAACAATTTTCTCACATAATTTTGCAACTCTCGCGATAAACTACTTTGTACAATAGTTGCGGTAACATTTGCGCGACTTGACTTCGCGATGACGCAACGACGAAGTAGAAGAACGTTTAACGAGAGATCAGTGAGGCGTCTGAAAAAAGCAAGGCGCTTAACGATTCGGCGAGGAAGAAAAAAATCTCGGGGCGGACCGGCGGTGCGTTTTTACGACACGGTAGGGCCTCGGCTCTTTATGCCGGATCGGAACATTAAACCGCCATCTCTTTAAAAGCGTTGTATTTCTTTCATCGACGTTTGCGGTCCGACTGAGTTACAAACACAACTTGTAACTTTCACATTCTATCGGAGTATAGTCGTTCTACGGTTAACTCGGGCAGTCGAAGAGTCGTTTATCGAATGCGACGTGCGTCAGTTATCCTTCACGTAAACGACGTTAAAATAATTTTGATGTACGACACTTCGGAGGTTTGCAAAGTAATTTGCGGATTAAAGAAAAAAAAAATCGTACCTCGTCATTTTTTGCGAGAAGTCTGTTATCGAGGTGAGAAATATGATCCATGGCACTCCCGGGAAAAATCGAGAGCCGCGTCGTACGTGTGATAATAACACGTTGCATGGCGATACTTGTGGTTTAATGATTAGGGGTTCGCGTTAACGCGCCACGACGAAATTACAACGTCGCAGGATAGAGCACGCCTTCGCGAAAAAGGAAGGCAACGCGAAAAAATCGCGAAATCAGAGGTATACTTACGATTAACTTCCTTCGTATCTTCTATGCTTAATACCAACCTTCCCTAACAATCTCGTGGAGTGTCCTGTTGAAACTTCGACAAGTTTCCGGAGGAAAAATCGGAAAATTAAATAGGATTACCTGTGGTGGTGTTAGCCATAGTTTAGAAATCCCTTTACGGAATTCCTGCCATGACGCAATCTCGCAGCTGATGACCGAGGGACAATCGACGGTTTCAGTCTCACGGTTAATTTAACGTGCGTTTTTATTTTTATTAATTTGCGCCGCCAGCCTAATGTGTCGCAACACGACAAAATCGTTGATATTGACTTTTATATTTAGATTTTAAGGTATAATTTTCTCTTTCCAATTTACGCTTTCTCACCTCTCTCCAAGTGCTGCGAGCTTTTCGGGGCATTTCGAACACCCACACGCTCATTGTCCGCCTTTTCACTTGGCTCACCAGCGATAAATCTGTATTATGATCTTCTAGGCGATACGGCACCAAGTGCGGCGGTTGCCTTCAAGGGATAAATCCACAGGACCTTGTGAGGAAGGCAAGGGACAAGGTTTTCCACCTGAATTGCTTCACCTGCCTGGTATGTCGGAAGCAGATGAGCACCGGCGAGGAGCTCTATGTCCTGGACGACAACAAGTTCGTTTGCAAGCAGGACTACCTGTCGGGCAAACCGCTGCCGGACACGCATCACGTGCACGGTCATCACGGTGAGCCGTCAAAGCTATCCCTTTTGTTATCATCTTCTCCTGCGCAATGATATTATCTCAACGCGATCATATTATCTCATTCATTTATATATACTTAAATCCTTAAATCAGCAAAACAAAGTTGCACGTAATAAATTCACGTGTAATTCGTGCTAGAGATTAAATTGCGATGTCAGATAACTGGAGTCTTTTTTACCATCGACAGCAAAATTCTGTGATTGAAACAGTAAATAGACATAGAATCGAGAAAGTAAAGTAAAAGCATGAAAAGGAGATATTTCGAAGTATCACAGTTTATCTGTGTACATTCTACCGTTCCGTATTTCCGTTCGATTCGTCGCGGAGTTTAAATTTAAACAATACTCGGAGAATCCACGTGGTGTTTGTCTATACTTATTTATTGCCAACTGATATCGAAATTAACCTCATGCCATTTCTAATCTCGCGGATCGATAATATGATTGCGATAATTTAGAAATATTTAACCTTTATGCATGTGTAAAGTTCGATTACATTATTTATTTTATTCATTTATTTAATTGAATGTTAAGATAATCTTATATCTCTCTTGTCGGATATGGATATTTCTTGATACCAAAATTCTAACAAATAGCAATATTAAGACGCTTGATATAAAATCGTAAAAATTAGTTAACATATTATAATTATTCGATGTCAATCATATATATATATATATATTGACGAAATCTCTTTTTTATTAACAAAATATAATCAATATAGTCAAAGTTAAAAAAAAGCGAATATTTTAGAAGAATCGACGTATTAAAGGCGTATTAAAGTTTCGGTCTTCAGCGGCACGGTCTAAATACGTCGCTGCTACGCCGCGATTTCGACGTGGCACGTGGCTGTCAGCGGCACGCGGCGATCGATCGCGGCTCGAAAATTCGCGCGAAATCGCATTTGGCACACGCTTGGTGCGCAAACAAAGTCAACGCACAATCGCCTTCCATTATATCGATCTCCGCGCCGCTGTCACCGGAACGCGGCGCCGCTGTCCGAGAGAGAGAGAGAGAGAGAGAGAGAGAGAGAGAGAGAGAGAGAGAGAAGAGAGAGAGA